GCGGGCAATCGCTGAAACAGAAGAAGTGAGCAAAAGAAGGTAGAGCACGCAGTGCAACCTTTTTTGTACCGGCGCGCCAGCACGAAGGTAAGGGCTACCAGGTCCCCTAAAAAGAAAGTGGTTGCTCAGCGGAGCATGGCTGTTTGGGCCTTGCGAAGGCCAGAGGGCCAATCCCTCGACGTATCATGCAGTGTGACGCAATGCGATGCCGATGCCAGCTGCGCGAGGCTGACACGCACACGCTCGGCTGAGCGATGCGACAGGAAGGCAACACGGCCTCTTGCTAAGCCTGTCTGCCCAGACGTTTTTCTCGCCTGCGAGATGTTCCACCTCGAACTGTACTCGATGTAGATGGGCCCAGGTGGCTGCAAGGCGGAGGAAGGTCCCTAAAGGCTCTGCAGTGCTGAAGAGCTTGTTGAGCCCGCTCTCGGCGCTTGTGTTGTCTGACGCCGTGGGAAGCACGAAGCGAACGTGCTTGCTGCGAAGCTCCTGCCAGGAGCACTGGGCGAGGCCGAGCTGAGCCAAGGTCTCAAAACAGCCTATGTAAGGTTGCATCGAGCCGTGAAGCTGTGGCCACTGTGCTCTGACCTCATCGGCAGAGAAAATCTCGCTAAACCAAACGAAGGCAGTGGAGGTGCCGAGCCAGCCTCCAATGCCCATTCTGTCAGTGTCCGCGAAGGCGTCCGCAGCACTGTAGCAATGCATGCGTGGGGCAGTGCGAAGCGAACGCGGCTGCTCGTGTGCAAAGCAGAGGCTGAGCCATGCGAGCACGAACTTACTTTCTTGGCGTAGATGTATCTCTGAGCGATGCGGATCTGCGAGGCGCACCCACTGATGCTTGCGTGAAGGTGGCACCAGTGGCACATCCTTCTTTGTGTGAATTTTTATGCTGCCTACCTCGAGAAGTTGGGCTTGGCGGGGCAGCCATGTGCCAGCAGGTGTGCGTGTGAGCTTAGCATGTTCGTCTAGAGCATCATAGAAATTGTGCCACATGGCAGGCGCTATGCTGTGTAGGGTGCCCCTTGCACTATGGAGGTCTTTGTAGAGCGGTGCCATGAAGGGGCGAAGATGCTTGCTGAGCGTGGTGGCCCAGTTAAGCAGCCCTAGTACACCTTCAAGTGCTTTGCGAGGCACTTTGCTCTGCTGGCGAAGTTCTGCAAGTTGCTCACGGAGCTTTTCGAGCTTTGCTTCTCTGAGTTCCACGGTTTCCGTGTGGAGGCAAAACCGCCACCCGCACCAGATAACCTCGTGGGAGAATTGCGCCTTTTTCCAACTAATTGGCGCATGCAGGGCAGCGAGCAATGCGACTATGAGCGATGCGGCCTCCTGGGAGCGATGCTGGTGCAAGAAGGCAAGCAGGTCGTCCACATAGAGCCATGCGCGGTGCGGGTGCCCGCATAGCAATGCGTGCATGCAACGCAGTATGAGGCTGCCAACGCGTTGCCACCAGTATGCAGAGAAGCGTGCACCGAAATGGCAAACTGTGTAGTGGTACAGTGCGTTGCCAAGTCGGAACAAAAGAGTCCCTTGGTCGGAGTAGCGCACTTTGCAGCATTTATGCGCTGCCTTGAAGTCCAGTGAAAGAGCTATCAGGGCTCGATAGCAATCTCCAGCCAGGAAGGTGCGCTGGACATCCGATGCAGTAGGCAATGCGACGTGCTCTGGCAGGTGTATTGACGGGTTTAAACCACAAATAGAGCTATCTAGCACTAGTCTGGGGTCTCGCCCTTCAGCCATGACGATGTTGAGCTTACCTATCGCGGTGCCGTTGGGCCAGTGCGATGCGGCTTGGGTTTCGTCTCCTTCGAATTTCTTGACAAAACCTTTGTCCACCTCGTCTTGGACGAGCTGAGCAAGCATGTCGGGATTGGATTCTGCTGCGAGCCAGTTTCCCCTGCAGTGCTCAAGCGATGCAGGGCTGAAGTCATCAGAGAAATCCAGTGATGACTGCGCTTGCACCCATTGACCACTAGATGGGAGTGGTTCGAAAGCCCCGGTGGGCACACCCTCTTCCAGGAGGAGGGGCAGATCTGCATCCTTATCTTGGATGGCTCTGGCTAAGCAGTGCAAAACCTGCAGGCGAAAGGGCTGTCCCTCACTAATGCTGTGAAATGACGAGGGCTCGCAATGCGGTGCGAGCTCGACGCGGACGAGCTCGGCCAAGACCGAGCCGTGTTCGGCACTAAGAGGAGGCTCCTCTGCTGATGAGGACAAGTGCTGACATATTGAGGCGACTAGGTCATGTTGCTTAAGGTATGCAAGCATTTGCGATGCCAACCTCTGCAGGGGTTTAGCCTTAGTGCTTATGTTATTGGCAGAGTGGTCTGCAGAGCTGTGCAGGCCTGCTCCATCACAAACTGCAGGGCGTTTGGGAAGGAAGAAACTGGGCAGGAATTTGTTCAGGCGGTGGAGAGGCACTGGAACTTCCATGCCCGCAGTGCAGTGTGTTTCGAGCAAGCTTTGAAGCTGCCCCCAACTGTTGGGGTGATGCGAAATCTGGCCGAGCTTCGCGTCCGTGCAACAGAAGATGACGGAGCTGTCGTCCTTTGGCAAGGATGCGTGCACGCAGTGAACCGCCAGTTCCTGGCAGAGGTGAATATAGGACGATTCTGTGGCTGGATCGCATTGAGTGGGGTAGGCAAAGCAGACCTGAGCACCTTGCAAACGCGCGGCGCGCACAAGGGATTGTGCAACGCGATGCGAGGCTGGACTGAGCGAGGCCAACGTGACCTCAAGCAGTAGGGCACCCAGGAGCCCTGACCAGACTGCACTGGTAAGTTGTTTGAGGATGCCTGGGTGCCATTCGGAGCCTTGCAGCGGGAAGTTAAAGGCTAGACTATCAACCTTAAGCTTACGAGGGTGATCTGGGTGCTGCACATGAAGGAAAAAACGTGGCGGTGCGTCCGCAAGTGAAGACCGAGATGACGAGCTGGATCCACTGGGCGATGAGGATTCTCGCCTTGGAGTAGGGCTGGATGAAGGCGGAGCTGGCGCCGGGGCAGGGACTGCTGCAGATGCAGTGGGAGAGGCAGTGCATTGCGGCGGGCAGGTCGCCGGAGGCGGGTTTGGCAACTGACCTGATCCGGCTGCGGCCAGCTGCGCAGTTCAGCACGAGGGCGGCTCTTGCGGGTTGCGGTGCTTGCATGCGGGGTGGTTCTTGCCGCATGGCTCGCCATTGGGCATGCGGAAAGCGCATGCGTGCAAATACTTGCATTGCTGGTTCTTGCAAACACCCTTGTTGAAGCGAATGCAGAACGTCTTGTTGCCATGCTGTTTGATGAGGTCGCTATCCTTGACACTGGCGGCGCCATCCGCAGTGCTGAGCTTTCGCTTTCCAGTGTTCGACGGCATGCCGGTCTTGTCCTTGCCTTTGCCTTTGCCTTTGCCTGTCTTGCCCTTCTGGGGGTCGGTAATGCGGGGTGGCGGGCGTGGCGGAGGTGCCGGCGGCCGAGCTCGGAATTGCAATAGGTTGCCGATGTCGGATCTGACATGCGTCATCTCGTGCAGTGCGTCGTCAAGGATCCAGCCCGTTGCGCAGAGCGAGGAAATTTCTCGCCACAGCTTCCTATCTGCAGAGACCAGTTCACTGGTGGTGACTGTGCGCAGCGATGCATCAGATGGCGTCTGTGTGGCCCAATCCAAGATCTTCTTGTCGTAGGCTTTCAGGCGCTGCAAGTGCGCTCCTTTGCACAGTGCGATGGCGTTGCGAAAGATGGCCTGGATGCGTCCAAGCCATGCTGGGCTCAAGCGGAGATGGTCCACTGGCATCTCCGGAGTATCATCAAAAAGGGCCGTGCTGAGGAAGGCGGCTTCGGAGCGAAGCGTGCGCGTTGTGCGGCTTTCTATGATTTCCTGGTATTGCCGTTCGGAAAGGCGGAGCTGCCAGGGAACCCAGCTGATGCTGTTTCCTGGGCAGAACCAGCGGTGAACGATGCTCAAGAGGCGAACGCTTGGCATTGCATCACCGTCAAGGTGTTCCCCCGGATAGTTGCGATGAAAGTCCTTGACGAGCTGTGCGATGCTGGTAGAGTCCAGGCGCGGCGGCGCATGTTCAGCCCAAGCGTTGAGCTGGGTGGGTGCGGCGCTGGAAGCAGGCGCGGCCGGCGCTGCGGCATCCGAGGCTTCTGTGATGGCTTTGGCACGCTGAAGGGCTCGGCGGAGCCTGGCCACTGCAGGGCTATGCGGGGGATCAGACACCTCCATGTCATCCCAAACCTGTTGGTGCTCAGCGGAGCATAACACGTCCAGCTCAGCAATGCTGGAATAGGCAAAGGCAAAATCGGGGATAGACAAGATCCCCAGCTCTTGGACCGCGTTGCTGAGCGGGGCCGGCACTTGCATCGAGTCGAAGAGGCCCTGGAGTGCCTCAAGGGATTCAACGGAGGAAGCGTCCGCCATTGGGGCTTGGCGAAAGGTTAGCTGGGACGCAAGGTTCTTTGAGCAAAAAATGGCTGCGGAAGGCAGTGGCAAGAGGGAGAGAGCAGTGCCCATTCGCCTTGAGCCTTTGAGCCGAGAGTCGGGGAGGGAAGGTGTTAGGGCCCGTTCG